AAATAAAATAATGCATTCAAAGACTATTGCGTTGATTATCCAGTCGTACCTTTATATTAAAGCGGGGACGAAACCTCATAAGATCGGAAGAGCGTCGTGTAGGGAAAGAGAGTAGATCTCGGTGGTCGCCGTATCCTTAAAAAAATTTATTAAAATTCTTGGCACAATTAGTTGTGTATCTATTATTGTGTTTTTACACAATTAAGAGGTAATTTGTTACAAATCAGCACTCGAACAGACTAGTTTCGGGTAAATACTAAACCGAAACCGACCTGAAATTTTGGATCGGTTTCAGGTTTTTATTCCGAATGTTTTAAGAATTTTCGAGCTGATCTCGGGCCTTGATACTACATTTTTGCACCAGAAAAGTAAAATATGTATATGAAATTTATATTTCTACTAATCTTTCAATTAAAAAGATTTTATTTTGGGATAGCAATTTCGTGGTGACTCGAATGATTTATCGCATGATTATGAAATTATTTTTCGTGAGACTTGAAAAAAAAATAAAAAATGAAATTTTAACAATAGCAATAAAGCAATAAAATGTTACATTGTCAATTGACAAATGTCAATTTATATATAATAGGTAAATAATGCCATATCAATCACTAATCACAACAAGAATTGCGGTCAGCTGCGGTAAGCATGATTTTATTGCAGATCTGCAAACTATTGTTAACACGCGCTCGTTGAGTTTTTAACGCTGGTATAAATAATGATATTTCTACCGTATAATGAACCGCCCTTCTCTTTCTCTTTCTATCTTTCCCTCTCTCCCTTGTGGGAGAAAACAATTATTAAGAACGTATTTTTGAAAATGTAGATCACGCCAATGACTATATAAATCTGCTTGCAATCCAAGATATTTATTTATTGATTCACAAACTTTGATCTAATAATAATAACAGGAATTACGATAAAGAGGGTTTAGAAATTAATCATGACTCATTATCACCAATAAGTTATTTATTTTACATTAATTAATTAATTAATATTTTTATATAATTTCCTGATGACCTTGACAATGATGGTGATTCTTTTAATTGTTAAATATCAATGTCACACAATAATACAATTAACAAAAATAATTTCTTTTTAACAATGCTCTCTCTGCTGGCAGCATTTTTATAAACCTGTGTGTCGAGTAGTTGAACCATGAAGTTTGCTACCTTTTAAGCCGTTATCAATATTGGTAGTGTTAAATTTTGATCCCTGAAATTTCAGACGTTCACTTTGGTTTTCATGCTCATTAAAAAAAAAAATGCAATTTTGGATGGAGCTCGATTTTTCTAGCAAAGCCTCATTGATCTGTTTTTCCGTAAAAATGTATGAACCAAAAATTTTTTGTTAAAAAAATTAATTGGAGTTTAAATAATGTATGTATGTGTGTTTTTATTGGTATCATAATTATGCAATGATTTGTAATTAATTAATATATTTAATACAAGTATGTAATATTAGCAATAGGAGGAAAGAAGGAAAAGGTTTTTCTCAAAAAATCCCCCTTTCAAGCTAATAACAAGATGGAAACACCAGATATGACGAATTATAATAAATCATCAAAAGAAAAAGAATCATCATCATCAGGAAAGACAAATAAAGATTCTGAATCTGATCTAGTAAAATCAACAATTTCAGAAGAAACCTACGTACAACAACAGCAACAAGAAAAAAATGCAAGATCGGTAGAACAAACTGTAGCGGAACAGATTCTTAATGAAGGGAATAAGGAGGAAATGGTGGTGGACGAGGGCAGAATAAATGATAGTAGTGAAAATGGATCATTTGATGAAGAACAAACATTGGGAGAAAAAGAACAAAAGATTTATCTTATTCCATCATCATTATCATCATCTAATATATTTGATAAATTTTTTTTTAAAAAGAATATTAATGGATAAATTAAAGATAATGTGACGAATTTGCTACTACTCAATGTTGTGGTGATGGTGTTGAATTGTCCTAAAATATCAACAAGGTTTTTAATTCATAACCATTCATTATCACTCAATAAAATTTTTCTTAGTTTTTTCCCATCTTTTTTGACTTCTCTATCTGTGTCTAATTCCATATGGTTTTTAAAAGAATGATGGCTTTTTTTAAGTTTAATAATCGTACCCATGCCATATATCTGCTATTCCAACGTGTTGCTACATTACCTATTGGTTTTAATATTCTAGGATAATCTTCACTTAGTCTCTCTTGCTGCTTTTCTAATGCTTCTAATTGTTTTGGAGAGGAAGAAAAGAAATGTGCCTTTTGACCCTAAGAATTAAAGCTTTAATATTATCATCACAATTTAAAGCCTTTTTGATACATGGTTGAAATGTGTGGGCTGAACATGGAACTCAATCAACTTCTAAAGAATTTTTAATAATCTCAATGCACAAACCATGTTACTACCATTATCAGTGGTAATGGCCATAAGTTTTCTATTTAGCTCTCATTTCCTTACTTCATTTTCCAATAAATCTTTTATAACTAGACCTGTGTGAGGATATGGCACATAAACTAAATTCAAAAGCACTTCATTTGGCTTAAAATTTTCTGATATCCGTGTACATGTTATCTCCATAAAGCCTTTTTTTTGATTAGTTGAAGTCCAAAAATCAGTAGTCAGTAAAGCATACAGACAGTTATTAAACAAATTATCTTTGAGTTCATTGATTGAATGATCATATAATATGAATAGAGATTCTTTAATTACATCTATGCATGGAATTTTGAAATGTGGATTAAGAGAATGAATGAAATCTTGGAAACTAGGACTTTTTAAAATATAGAAAGATTGAGGATCTTTAATTAAAAATTTAATTAATTTTTTTTTATAGTGTGAGATTGTAAACCGTGGACCAACCAATTGACCGTTAATATCGACCAATTAGAAAGAACTTACTACGGAAGTCATGTGATGCGCTAAATATTACATCACGATTAACAATCATCTTTCTATATTTATTGCAACGGTTGCACA